GATACATTTCCTCATCAATAAGGAGAACTTAGTACTTGGAATTTATGTAACTTTTCCTTCCATTCTCCTCAAAAGGCCAATTTAATTTAAAGCCATACAGAGAGAAGCAATCTCTCTTCAGATGTCCGATATGTGAAACAGAATATATTTTTTGAGCATTTTTCTCCCATTTTACATTTTTAAAAATAGTCTAGCGTACAACTATTCAGTAATAAGGAAAAGTGGCGTGATCAAAATAATTACTTTGGAAAAGGTCAGACAGTAGACAAAAAAAGGCCACTCAGACAAAGGTACAGTAGACACATCTTCTTTTCAAGCATCCATTTTTCTTGCAATGGTGATGCCATTTCAAAAGCTACTACCCACAGAACAGCTTACCTCTTCCAGCCCAATGCTCCACACCCCATGTTGAGAGAATGTTTTGATGGAAACACAATATGACAAGGAGACTTTTTCACCAGATTCTTTATTTACTTCAAATGACTTAATTGCTTTGACCTAATCCAGACCCAACCTACAAGACTAAAACTTGGAGTGCACTGAAAAGAGAAAGAAAATATCAAAGCTTTTTAGTTGCCTCTTTTTAAGGCTTACATTTTTTCCTACTGTGTTCCTGCTCTGAACAATTTTCAAAACCCTAAAGAACAAAACCACTACTAGTTTCAGTGGTAACAGTGTATCAGAGAGGGATATTTCTAAACCACCAGAAACAGTTTGAGCACTGGATTAACCAGGAATTTCTACAATACCTTTCTCTCTACAAACTCTCATGGAATTTATTAATATAGCATTTAAATAACTAATCAAGAAACTAAATGAACAAACATGTCCCTTTCACTGGGTAACAGTGATCAAAACAGCAAAAAAAAGTTAAGAAGGGGACATATAAAAATATAAGTGCTAGAGTGAAAATTATGCAATACTGATGATTAACACATTCATGTATCTAACAAAAAAACATGAATAAAGATATCAGTCTACCTTTTTTAAAAAATACTATTCTAGCACCTCTTTGCTACATGAACATCTGCACTAACATGGCTTTTTTTGTAGTTTAAGAAGCAAACAATTGCAAAACAAAAAATTTCTGCTGTAGTGCAGCGTTACTGCAAGCAAAAGAAACAAAACCACAAACAGTGACATGCCTTACATAATCAAGGATCTTTTCTTGGGACATAGCACTCAATTATAATTCCAGGGACATTTGTTATTGAAAGGACGCTTCCAGTAAAAACGCCACATGCTGGATGAGCACAATCTGCTCATAACCCCTGTAGTAAATTACAGTGGAGGAGACAATTTTAAGCCTTTTATTCTTTGCTAATTAGCTGGCAAAACATAACTATATGTCTCACAGAAAACAGCTCAACTGAGAAAAGTAAGATTTTACAGCAACAGATGCATTGCAAGGAAGAAAAATAATTTGAAAATAAATTCGGATTCAGGCTGGACATAATTTATGGAGATTTTTTTTTTTCCTCCACAGTTTCCAAATAGCCAAAAGTCTGATTACTTTGCTATCTACTTTTTAGATCTCATCAAATGTGACAGTCCAAACATTTAGCTCCAGGTGTTATAAAATAAAATTAAATAAGCCAATGAAACCACATTGAAACTAGGACTTTTCAGCCAAATAAACCTGCTCAGATTCACCCTCAAATCTGGCAGCATATTTGATGATTATACAAGACTGGGATAAGTAATGAAAATATACTTCAGAAAAAAAAATTTAAAAGCCCAAAAAAGAAAAACCCATCAAAACCCTCCAAAACCAAATGTTTAAAGCCAAACATACAGAACTAAAATACTTATATTTCAAGACTGAGTAAAATTACTTCACAAAATAAGGAGGTTTTCCCCTAAGAATTAAAGGACTATTACAGAAACAGCTTCTTCGTCATAGCATGGCATAATATATTGCAGTCTGACTATGGGAAAAGAAAAAGCATGTAATACCCCAAATCAGATATAAGAACATGATAGGAAAGTGCCAACTGTACTGTAGTTACCAGAAAAGAAATATAATATCACTTCTAGAAGTGCTACAAGTTCTACAAATTTTACTAGTAACTATAGCTATCTCTATATTGAAAGAAAGGTCTACTAAACATCTGAACAAATGCACCATCTCTGCTAATTGATACCTTTGCATTTTACACATTCTGACTTAATTAGCTTAGAAGTATCTTACAACAGAGCAGCTTTAGGAACTCAATTTCCTTTGGAGCCATTGCTGGAACCAAACTTACATTGATGAGCTTTCAGATGACATACATTCAAGACAGTCAATTTTTGCAGACTCCCACATTTGAGGCCTACTATTAACTCTACCACCAGGTCTGTGCAAATAAGCATCCTGGCAATTGTTAGAGAGCCTGTCCTTCAAAACAAATCAAGCAGGCAGCAAAACAGCACTAGAATCTTATTTGCTAGAATATGCTAAAGGAAAGATAGTAAGAGTTGCTGCATGAGACAGAATTAAGGTATATTTGATTCTTTGCTAAAATAATGGCACAAAAGGGTAAATAGATCAGAAAAAAAATTCTATACTTTGTTTACACGTCCAATTCAGACAGGGGCATAATTTACTCAAAATCAGAAATTTTAATATTGCATTCCCCTATAACAGAAAACACATCTATAATGTAAGCTGGATATGTGTCATGTGTCCTCTGGAATAATTAGTAACAATACGCAATTTTATACAAAGAATTTAAATTAAATTCATTGCAGGAGTAATTGTATATGTAAAAATTTTTAGTACTATGGTAAGATGTCTATGAAGTCCATGCCATAAATATATTTTTAATGGCTAAAACTAAACACAGGCTGCAAGGATCAGAGTCTTTGATTCTAGAGCCACCACCCTGATTATTCAAACTATAGGCCATTCAAAAGAAATAATTACAATTTTATAATCACAAGAGCTAGGAGTGAAGCCATCAGTTTGATCTTAGCTCTGGCCATACTTCAAGTAATATAAGCAAGCACTGAGAACACTTTGTGTTTTTACCATTTTAGTTTTATCTGAACAATCTTTAGAAATAGTCCAATCAGTTTCATTCCATTAAATATTTTCTGATTATTATAGATGGGTAATGTGATAGTTGGCTCTCGCAATAAAGGGATGACTATTATGTGTATGTTAAAAGAAGCTTCATTGATGTATGGTTATGTTGTTGTGATTTTTTGTTTAGATGTCCTCTGTTCTCCCCATAGTCCCCCTTCTCTCCCAGTACTGTTGCCAAGGGACGGCCTTGGTAGTCAGGACATGTGGAAGGAGGGCCTTGCACGGGGCATTTGGGAGGAGGGAAGGCTTGTTACTAGGAGGTGAGGCATGACAACACCTGACCTCCAACCAAGCTGGAAGAAAGTGACCTCCACCAATAATGGTGAAGAAGAGTTCACTGACAGACTTCAGGAGGGGACAGGGTTGCCTAATGCAAACCCAGGGGTGTAAAATGCCGAGCAGCCATTTTGTAGACCAGCTTGTGGCTGCTGGGTTACCTACTCCCAGCGTGCTGTCCTTTTTCCTTATTCACTCATTTGTTGTATTTTGTTAAGGTTTTAATAAACCTTTGACATTTTTAAAAGTGAGGAGTCATTTCTCATACTGATGATCAAAATGCTAAAGATTGGACTTAATACTCAAAGATGGCTAATGCAAAGCATTTTCACAGACATTAAAATGACAATTGTTCTTTAGATCCAATATCTACATTCTCAATAAATTTCCTTTTCACTTCTCTCCGCATGTGAAATTATCATTAAGAACAGATGTCAACTTTAACATAGGTCTAGTTGAAATTTTAGGACTTTAAACTTTGTGAAAGATGCATGATGCCTATTTTTCTTAAGGGAAAAATAGTAAACCCCCACCCATAAATGGCAACCCATTTATGATTAATTCTGCTGTAACTACTGATTTGCTAAAGCTGAAAACTTGAAAGGCCAGTAAAAGTGCCATTTTGTCATTGCAATAAGCTTTTAGAAAAAAAAAAGCACCTCAGCAGGTAAGTATCTGTGTTCTCCATCCTGTGAATATCAAGCCTTGAGAGGATTACTATTCTACTGAGTCATTACCCAATGATTGTTTATCTCCACATCACCAAGCACTATTCAAAATGAAAGCATTTCACACTGGACAAAAAAAGTCTGGCCCAGGCAGCTGTTCCACAGAGCAATGTTAAAGGGCCAAAAAACCCTGCTTCTCACCAGTATTGCTATTCAGTGCCACTGAAGACAACCACTTAAAGGCAGAAAGAAAAAAAAAACACCTCACAAGAAACAAAACCACCTTCCACTGCAAAAATATTTTTTCAGAATCCACCACTACAGTCTCTGCACTATCCACTGTCATAGAAATTAGGATTTCTGTCTGCTTAGTGCTTAAACCCAGCATGGAGATTTGTCCCTTGGTAAAAAACAAAATCTTCCTAAGAGCTTTATTTGTAACATTACTGTTCAGGACAAACTCTTGAAACTCTCTCTAGCTTCCTTCCTCTCTTCATCCCCAGCCCCCTTTTCCCATCCCCTACAGCAGTGTAGGCAGACCTCTCCAGAAAATGAGACAATTTTTGAAAAAACATCATCTCAAGAACAGAGAGTCTACAGGATATGGTTAAGTGGAGACTGTGAAGCTATTAAAACAACAAAGTAATTACCTGAATATAGTATTACTGCATATATAACTATATTTAAAAATTTTCATTTTATCAAAACAGAAGCAAATGCACTTCAATTTATCTCTCAATATAATTCATTTTACAACTGATTGTGGATTGGTTTTATTTTTTTTTTTAATATAAAGAAGCTTCTAATAGCAATTCACAGCTTCTTTTCAGTAATTTAAACCCAGATTAACAATCCTTGGTACATAATACTGGCCAAACTTCTAAAAACAACCAGTGAAATAGTTTTTTTTCACTGCATATTAACAAAAAACTAGCACTGACCACAATGACACAAATTTGAGTGTGAAACATTTTAAGAAGGGTTACCTCAGATTCATCTGTTGATTCCTCATAAGACCTGGTTTCCTGAAAAGGACACAAAAAAACAAAGTGGTAAATAGCTAAGTATATACATAACTGAGCAGTATTTCCCTTTAAGAAATACTTTTAAACCCTTATTAAGAAATGAAAGACAAAGCAGAAGCAACTCAAAGTTCAGAGTTTCCATCCTTGTCATTCATACTCAATTTGTGCTTGCATTTGTGTCACAGTGATACTCAGGAGCAGCAGGGACTCTGTTGTCAGTTATCCTAAAAGGGAGAGTGACTGGGTCATCTGAGAATCTGTCCCTGTGATTATGTTCCCCTCTTCCAGAAGCAGTAGCAAATTTTGCAAGGAAACTGCCCATATCTTGACTTCCATGGCAGAACAGCATTCTCAAGTTACCCACAAGCCAGCTTTGCTATTCAACTATTCAGCTGTTAATAGGCTTATTTTAAACTTAAATATTTTCAAACCATTTTCCATAGAAATCCAGAATTCAATGGCTTTCTCCTTCCCATCTGACGTTAATGCAAGGCATGGCTTTCTCCTGCCTTTGAAACAACTGTACCTTTAAAACATTTCTCTGGCAAGATGATTCTTTCAACCCTAGAAAAAAAATTTTTTAAGTCAACTCCTGCTCATTTGTCGTCTGCCCACTGAGAAAATCTGCTGATGCAATGCCTTCTCAAAGAAGTCAGCAAAACGAAGATTTACTTAACATATTTATCTTTATCAGTAGCCATAAAGGATGACAACTAATAGTGAATGTACGCACTTTAACAATAAAATATGATATAAACAAAGAACAAGTAGGAGAGAAAGCGGCATTTCAAATCTTATGAAGAGAGTCTTTGAAGAGTAAGATTAATAGGTACAGAATTCCACCAGACAAGACAAAAAAAAAAAAAAATTACACCCTTACCCACAGCTTAGAGAAAAATGGAAAAGGGAGAAAATGCACTGACAACCAGTGTAATTTTTTGTTTTTCACATTTATTTATTTTCTATGTTTATATAATATACTGATTGTGACCTGTACACCAAAAGCAAAGGCTTCCTTTTCATTAGTGGAGGATCACATTGATGCCCATAATGACCATCACAGAAGATGGGAGAGAAGCAAAGCAGCACTTCTACCTGCTACTGGAAGCTTTGTGCAAAGTGTTACAACAATTACTGACATCCGTTTCCTCCATTTTTCTCACTACAGATAGATCCACCCCTAAAATACACACCCCATAGAAAGGTTATCACTGTAGTCTATACTTGTGTCATGAATTGGGAAATTGCAAGTAAAAAGTACATGAGCATCAAGGGAAGACGGAGTAAAATCCTGGCATCCTTTGCAGTTTAGGTTCAACTTTGCAAGCCCAACTGTTTGTCTGTTGGTCTCCCAGTCTCTAATCACAAGCTGTTGTAACTTTTCAGGAAATTACAATTTTCTTACATACAATCTTTGTGCATCTTAACAATAACCAAGTGAGAACCGAACTAAAACAGTGTGGTGTAATATTGCCAGCTGATTGAATGAGCTAGAACAACACACAAAGTCCAACGCAAAGTATCATCAGATTCCTAATAAAAGCCCATGATTTTATCTTCTCAATACCAAGAGCTACCTACTCAAATCCTTAATAAATCAAAATTAATACTACTACAATTATGGTATTTTGGTTTAATTCACATAGTGTGGGGGGAAAAAAAAGCTCTCCCAAACAAAGGCATTACAGCAAGTGACATTTTCGCCAGTGCAGCTACACCAACTACATCTGCCTCTCATGGCTCCAATTGTTTTGGTTGTCTATGAACAGAAATTTACTTTCAGGATAAGCTCACTATCTAACACCATGCTGTCAGACCAACACGTGCAGGATGGAGTTAACAGCTCACTTACTGAGCCAGCAGCTGGTCCTCACACCCACCTGAACCGCAAGTTATGTGCAAAGGCATCCCTAGAGGATATTGACATATAAAATTAGGGCATGCCAGAAGTTGATTCCAATAATCAATCCATGTGAACTAAGAAAATATCAATCTATTTTTATTTAGGACATCCACCCTGGTATCCCTACTGTATTCACAAGGCACTGCAATCTCAGATACTAAATTTCATAAATGGCATACAAATAGAGGTAAATGCTTCACAGCCCTTATGTTTTACTGCAGAAAATAACATAGAAAAAAATCAGAGGGAGCCTTGGCTTAGGAAAGCAATGCAAAAATTGTATTTGTTCTCTGACAAGAACTTAGCTGAAGGTGCTTAGAATTGATACTTACCTACAAACTCACTTTGGTAGCAGCTTACTATGAAAAGCTTTTTCCCTGCATTTTCCCCACTTGCTTAGGCAAACCTGAACAGTAAACTGTAGTTATGATTGCCCTGGGGCTTTTTTAGGTTCCTTTGCCTTCCCTCCAAATGCATGAACTGAAAGGATTATCCTCCACTTCCACTTTTTAGTAGCCTTGTGACTGCCCTAAAAAGGGATTTGTAGACAACCAGAATCCAAAATTATTTAGGAATAGCAGTCTTTAGCAATCTCAGACTCTACAGGAAAATCAGCAGTACACTTCAGCCAGCTGACAAACACTGTTGCTTAAGTAGCCTAAGAATGCAGTAAGGGAACACAGATCAGGAAACCATAGAAATGTGAAGTAATCTCTCACCATTATAATCTCTCACTTAACAGATCCAACATAACTTCTCAAAATATTCTTAAGTGAGCTTTCCAGTATGATAGGTATAGCATTTTCCCTTCCCCTGGTTTTACAAACATCAAATGTAATCCACTATATGTTTAGGCGCATAACATAAACCTGACAGAAGGTGAAAGACCCAAAACTTGAGTTTTACAGAAACACGTGCACAAGACACACAGAGCCCTTTCAGTACAGGTGTGCATGGTACCCACAGGAAACAAACTGAAATAAATAAACTCTCCTATCATAGTCCAAAGAGAGCAAAACACAGGCTGGTTTAATCTATTGTATTGTTAGAGAACACTTGTCCAAGTTTGTTTCATCCTTCCAAAGGCTGCCACAGTTAAAAACTCATCAGTCCTGGGGGAAAAAAGTCTTCCCCAAGGAAGCCAAGCCCTCCCAACAAAACTCTGTCAGCAGGGAAGGTGGAAACCAGATGCCAGCCTCTAACTTTGGCTGGTTACGTTGAAGTAATTCTAAGACTCTCTCACTTTTAGGCATCCATGACTGACAAATATTGCACAGCTGAGCTGTCTGTTCAAATACTGGCTCAGCAAAGAAGCATTTATAAAGCACCTGAAAGGGCCAGAAAAAGCACTTTTTACTTTTTTTTTTCTTTTTTTTTTTTTTTTTCCTTGGGAAAGAGCAACCTAGGGACGGGGAGCTTTAGGAGAACACACGATTAAGAGAACAGCACCAAAATCCTCAAATATTGTCTCAGAAAAAAATTTCCTTGTTGAAATGAACTTGGTCATGTTCCCTATGTCCCTCGGTAGAGAGACAGCTCTTGGCTCCACAGCGGCGTCACAAGCACTTCTAAAGCCACCCTCCCGGCCAGACCCAGGTTCCGCTGCCTCCATCTTCCCTTCTCCTCCCCGGTGCAGCGAGGCTGTCCCCGACGGCCCTGCACCCCGCAGGGCTGGCTGCCGGCCTCTGCCCCCTGACACAGGCACTGTCCCACTGTCCCTCCGCCCCTCCACTCCCATGTGCCCCGCCCCGGTCCCGCGCTCCCGCTCTAAGCCCCGCTCCTCCGCGCTGCGACCACAGTGCACTGACAGTCTCTACCTTCTCCCCCGCTTCCGCCATGGCGCAGCCAGGCAGCTGTCATGTGACGGGCAGGAAGCCGTCGAGGCGAAGGCACTCTGGGAAATGTAGTTTCAGCGGGAAGCAAGCGTTTCCGTCCGCCGTACCCTTTTTTACCTTCCTCGGACTAGCTGAAGCGTGATGGCGATGCCTTAAAAAACAGAGGGCACACGCAAGACTGGGCCCAACGGCACACCTCAACCAAGTTTCCTCTCCGCCCTCCTTAGCTGCGAGATGCTTTTTTAAGCTGAAATCCATCGATTCTCTCAGGGAGACCAATATGATTCTCCCAGCTCCATGATATACCCAGCTGTGATGGGATTGAAGGTAGCCACTGCAGTGCTTGATGAGCTGGTGCCTGATTAGCAAGGGTTCGGGTGTAGCTGAAGCCAAGAGCCACTGACAGCCTGCGTGCTGCCACTGTCGTGTTCAGCACTGCCAGTGCTACCAGACCAGGCCCTTTTATTGTCAGCCATCCGAGTAGCACCTAGTCGAGCACAGCTTCAGTTGCCATTATATGCTCTGGTTTCCATTAGATGCTATATGTAGCAGCGTTGGTCCTCTTTGTACTTTTTACTTAATCATCAGTATAGAAATGGCCCACACTAGTATCAGGAGAAGGATTTCAGAAAGCCTAAATGTCTTCTACAATCCTAGAAGCTTCTGCATCTTGATTTTTAAAAACAAAAAAATAAGACTTGAATGTCTTGCTTGCACACAAGGGCTTTCTTTATGTGTTAAAATACAATCAAAGCTAAAAAGAAATAGGCAGAACTTCTTACAGTTTGGGGTTTGCCTTTGGAGCTATTTAAAATATAAGGTGGAGCTACAGTGTTATGTGTCTTTAGGTTCAAAGCCATGAATTAAAAAATGTGCAGTGCAGTTTACCTTTGGCAATCAAAGAGAAATCTTACAATACTGTTATATATGCCCAATTATCCAATTTTAAAAAAAACACCAAAATTAAATGTAACAGCAATTTTAATTAAGTAGCTTAATATATAAAAATTTGAATACATTCGAAATATTGACAATATAATTTGGTTAAAATAAGGAATAATTTGGTTCTAATAATGGCGCATAAGCAAAAATAACTGCCGGCGTATGCGTGGGGTATGGAGTACAGGGCTTGACCCCTGTCACCTCATGTACAAGCTTGTCAAGCCAAAATTCCACTTTTTGTGCTGTATGTCATTACCATCTCCTCCCATTTTCAATTCGTCACACTTGTATCACCGCCCTCATCATCACCTTTACCACGCATGCTCCACCATTCTTTTAGGTAGTCTCGCCACTCTTTGGGGGTCTTCTTTGAGGAAGGCCTCTCTTCTTCCTCGGTATCCTTTAATTCACATTTTGGATTACACATGTGCACCAAGCTAGTATAGTATAAGCCAATATTATGTTCTAACATTAAAGCAATAAATCTCATATAATTAACATTTTCCTGGTGTCCAACCAAATCCTCCTCTCTTCCAACTAAATTTAGTAATAGATATCCCTTGCTTCTTCCTGTTCTGAACATCTGCAGGAGATGGGGGGGGAGAAACCCCTTCTCTCCCTTTCTTTCTTGGCATTACACCTTTAACTGTTTTATTATTTCCAAATATTAATTACTGTATCAATATTGATTACTGTTTCAATTTTGTCAGCACCAATCATACCCATTTACTGCAATATCACACTGCAAACCCTTAAGGCCATACAGTTAATTGCAACAGAGTATCACCTTGGCTATGAAAATAATGTATATCATTGCTATATCTTCAGAAACTAATTGCCAGAATTTTGACTGAGAAGAGCTAGAATTGTCCTTTAAAATCACACTGAAAGTGGTACACAGGGTTGAGAAAGAGTTATCAAAGTTACAGTTTCAGTTCAAGAACATAAAAAAATAGCTATCCTGAAAATATTTACTTCAAAATGATAAAACAAAGTATCTTTTTTATGGTTTGTTCTGGACTGTCAAGGTGCCATGGCAAAGAAGAGTATAAATGTCATCCAGACCATATAAGCCACGGGATATCTACAGAGAAAGAGATGTTTGGTTGGCATTGTACAAAATATTGTTGAGACCACACCTGGATGTAATTGTAAATTTGGAGTCACCTTTGTTACAAAAAAATTAATTGAAACTGGAAAGCACCAAAGGACCATTTTTAAGGTCTGATCTGTTGGAGAAGACTGATAAAAAGAAGGGCTTAGCAACTTCAGTCTAGCAGTAAAAGAGATCTGAGGAAGAACTATTGAAGTAAAAGGTATGAGATCAAATCAGTATCAGCTATTTTCAGTGCATTTAGGCTGGAAATGAGAAATAGATTACTGCAGCGGCGGCGGCTGACCTTAAGGGACATCCCGACTAGCTGCAGCCAGCACCGCTGGCAGCACGGGGGCACTCTCCCGATCCGGGGCTCGGTCAGGGGAGCGCCTAAGGCTTTCGCCTTAAGGGACAAGGATCCGCAGTAAAGAGAGAGGGCTGCTATCCCACAGGAAGCAAAAAAAAGATGGACTCCAGCAGTAGTGCAATCCAGACTCAATGTCCAGGACAGCTACCAGCTGAAGACCCCCAACTCGGCATCGACCTGGGTTTATAAGGAGGGGCGAATACAGAGAGTTAAGGTGGTCTCCAGCAAATAGGAATTAATGTGGGTGTGGTGGGAGGATAACAGACACTCAGGGAAAACCAATGGGGGAAGAGCAGGGGCGGAGTCCTGGGCCCTGATCCAATCACTCGATGCCCAGGATGGAAGATTCTAGACAGAAGGGTTGGGGCACCGAGTGACGGACAGGGAACCAGGGAGGGACTGAGGGAATGGATACATTAGTTGCTAGGGGTAACAGGGAGGGGAGATTTGACGGACGGGGCGATCAAGGAGAGAGAGAACCAAGGCAGAACCATTACAACAGAGAGGGGCATAAGGAACAAACCAAATCGGCATATAACATAACGAACACAATACAACAGATTCCTATGAGTCAGACATGCATGGTCCTCAGAAGAACCTTGCTGGCAAGAAATTTAACTCATTTCAAGATGAAACTTAATAAGCTTAAGTAAGAGACTGTAAGAGGTGTTTGCTGACAGCTGTGTGGCTTACCCAGAATGCTGCCCATTATAGGCCCATTAAATCCTTCTTGAATCTTAGTCCTGTTCAGATCAAGTGAAAAAATATATCATTGCTGTCAATGGAGCTAGGATTTGTCCTTTAATATGTAATACACAAACTACATTTTCTGTTACTTGAAACTGTGTATATCTTGTAAAAGGAAATTTTGCCAGTGAAGTTCTTCCCCTACTTTCAGGGGAAAAAACCAAAACCCCTCAATAGGGGTTTTGGGCTACAGGGTTTGTTTTCTTTTTTTCTTCCTTCCCCCACACCCCCTTTTTTCGTTTTTTTTTTTTTTTTCTACATCAACAGGTGGCATTTTTTTAACTGGAAAGAACATTAGTAACTGACTTTTTAAGTGCCAAGAAAAACAGAATGTAAGGGAAAGGATGGCAGACCTTGTAAACTTTGCTATTATAACAGCTAATGGTGCACATTTGCTCATTTTTCACAAACTGAGCTGTCCAGGAACAGCTGTTCTTGTTTTCATTGCACACAGAATAAGTGGTATAAACAATGTGATTTACTTACAGTGTGCTGCTTATTTCTGGCAGAATGAGGCAAAACTAATTCTTTTGTGGTTTAGACTTATGGTATTAATTCAATCTGCCATGATTATAGTTTTTTATTGTGTCAGGAAAATTTAACATGTTTGTATCTGATGCTGCCACCCCTTCTACATCTGCCCTCCAGAAGAGCTGAAAGTCATCTAGAAGCAATGCCATCAATAGGTTTTAAAATCTTTCAGCCCCTCCCACAAAGTACTCAGCATCCTTCGGATCTGGGCCTGAGAAGAGTCAACCTTTGGAGTTAAAAAGCTTAAGCATAGTTCAGCATAAGTGGAGAATATAGCACTGCCTAAGGGAAGTAAACATTTTGTCCTAACCTTAAAACCTACTCTCACTCTGTCTGCCAGCGCATAGAACTGAAGTCTGGGTTAAATTAGTTGTACTAGAGGTAGAGATTTGAGATGTCTGGTGAGATTATAGATGCTTTGAGGTAGAGCATTTTGGCTCAGATTCATCTCATGTGATAGGTGGCTGTACTTTATCACTTAGTTTTAACTTGATTCTCCAAAAATAGCACTCTTCATAAGTATCTAAATAAATATTTTAACCATACCATAATGACTTTAATGTTCTTAGCGCCTATTTTAATACAGAGTTTCCAGTGGATGGGAATTCTGCAGGACATTTCTAACAGGATGCTGACATACCAGCCAGTTTGAATTTTAAAAATTTAAGTCTGTCAGGAGTTTCTGATTTATTTTTTTGCCACAGAAATCAGAATTAGCATTGAAACTTGGACCTTGACCAGCATTCAGTGTTCAAATAATACTAAAATTTTTCTGTCTTACTTTAACACACTTTCTCCCTGTGAAAGTGAAACAGAGACTACTGTGAAACGTAACAAGTAGCAAGTATCCTTTGGTATATTACTGTATTTCAGTCTCCAAGTTGCTGTCAGTTGCTTTCAAGTAAGACTGATTCATCCGACAAAATGTTCAGTTGGATTATCTCTCACCCCTCTCACCCCCACTTCTTCAGTTCAAAGAATAAGAAAAGGTGGTGTTGTCTGCAAGCTAACAGTATTTAAAAACACTATGCTGTATAAAACATAGATAAGGTTGTCAATACAATGGAAGTTCAAAGATTTTCCTCTTTCTGTTTGTTTGTTTGTAGAAGTAAACTTGCAAGGACTTTTTTTTTTTTTTTATCCTTGCAATCAATTATTATTAAGACACTTTCAATTTACATCATAGCTTACATAATTATAATCTTGAATATGTTCAGGAACTTTGTACTTTAATAACAATCCTGCTTGACTTGCTAGCATTATATTGTTGTGCAGTTGCTTACTTTTTTCTTCTTAATCCATATCTAAAATATATTTACAACATTTCTTCCTGAAA